GCGAGGGACAGGGTGGTCTCTGGCTGCAGGGAGCAGTGGGAGTGAGGAGCAGATGCCCACCCCACCTCCCATCAGCCGCAGGGGGCCCTCCCTGGAAGGCCCAGGAGGGGAGGGTGGGCCCTAATTAAGGCTGAAAGACTACTGGGGGCAGAGGGAGACTCCCCGGGGTCACCCTCGGGCAGGGAGGGCAGAGAGAGAGAGAGGCACTGGCCCAGAGACCCCACTCTGGGCCCACTCCCACCCTGGGGCTCACTGCACAGGCTCTGCTGACCCCTGGCGGTCAGCACTCGTTTTACACTGCCTCCCACACCTCCACCGTAGTCAGCCCAGGTCAGCGGGGCAAAGCCAAATCCAGGGGCACAAGTCTTTCTGAGATGGCACAGAAGACACATGTGCACATGCATACACACTCACTCACGTGCTCAAGCACACACACACGCTCATACATCCACACACCTGTACAAACGCATGTACATACATGCATACGGGCTCACCCTCATCCGGTCTCACACACTCATCTTCATACACATATGCAGGCTCTCACATGTGCACATAACGACGTGCACGCTCACATTCACATCATCACACATACACACACATGTAAACACGTTTTCACAGACAGGCGTGCACACTCACCTCCTCACTCCCTCACAGAGCTCACCAGCTGCAGCCCAACACTGACCAGTGACTTGGAGGGAAGGGAATTTTCTAGATGATTCTTTATTTTAAAATGTCGGTATTATTCTTGTTCTGTAACTCTTCTGTAAGTTTGACGTCAAATAAAAATTAACAATAAAGACTGCCTGCACCCCTGTCCAGGGTCCACAAGGGTCTGTGTAAAGTTCCCATGATGACTGAAGTGGCCTGAGCCCCCTGCCCTTCGTCCCTGAATCTCCAGGGGAAAAAGCCCAGGTCCTAGTCCCCGCAGGCCTCCCCCAAATTGAGGGGGCTTCTACCACACTTCCCTTTCTTGCTAGGTCTAGCAACCAGGTGGGCTCAGGGGTCTAGTGTCCTCAGGGGTGGGGGAGGGGGGGATGTATCTATACTAAGATGTGTGGTCCCTGCCCTCAGTTCTAATCCTGACAAGGTCCTCCCCCCCCACCCACCTGGGCACCCCACACCTGTAGGCCCACACCAGGGCCCCCTGACAGCTGTCTATTTCAGTGGGGAAGTGGCCTTGCTGCCCAGTGCTGGCCCTGCTTTCCCAGGTGGTCGTTTGAGGCCCAGGAAGCCCGAGTTCAGGATGTGGCCAGTGAGGCAGGGGAGATGCCACCACCACCACCACCCCAGCACCCTCAAGGGTAGACAAGGAGCTCAGGCTGCCCAGGACATCTCTGGGCATTGGTGTGGTCACTCTGCTATGACTGAGTGCTTGGGGCAGCAGCCCTCAGTGGAGCAGACTCAGGAGCAGTGCAGGAGGGAGCCGACTTCCAGGGGAGCCCACTATGAACCTGCCCCTGGGGAGCCCGCTCTGAGGCTGGGCCCAGCAAACCTGCAGCCCGTGTCGCCCAGGAGGCCAGCAGGTGATGCCAAGGAGGCTCAGCCAGGCCGCCGCGGTGCGTGCTGCCCACCTGGGCTCGAGACTCCAGGAAGGTGGGCTCCATCCTGTTCCACATAGACGGCAGCTTGACAAACGGCCTGTGTGCCAACTGTTTAGGAACTAGGAGCCCAGCTTCGGGGCGACGGGCCCAGGGAGGCTCGCTCTCAGCAGCGGCCAGGGCAGCGGCTCTGCAGGAAGGTGCTGACGTAGCTCACTTCCTGCTCAGCTACCTCTCACGGTGGCTGGTTCTGTCCTCTCCAAATCACAAGAGTCACGCTAGACTTACACGACACCGATCGTGTCTCGCTAACATGACACAGACAAGCCGCTCCCCGGTGGCATTATGGCATGGCGGCAAAAGCACCGGCGATGAGGACATGTGAAGGCCTGCAGTGAGAAAGCCAAGGGAGAGGCGCCCTCAGCCTCCCTCCAGCTGAAAGAACGGGAGACAGCTTCAAGCCCGGAGCTGCAATACTGAAGGATTCCGTGGGCAAATGTTGAAGGGTGCAGGGTGCCGTGAAGGGAGGTGGGAAGAACACACAGAGCCACTGCACCAAAAAGAACCAGTCAACATTTAACCATTTCAGGAGGAAGCCTATGGCCAGAACAGACGGTGTTGAAGGAAGAAGTCCCAGCTGCACGGAAGGCCTTAGCCTAAACATGGTCCAGAGCAGACAGCATCTCAGCTCAGCCGCTGTCACTGGAGCAGGCAGCGCTGGGAGCACTCGGCAGACATTTGGAAAGCGGCTGCCTGGCCAACCGCCTGGAAGGGTCCATGTGTGACAACTCCCAAGGGAAGCCGCGCAGGCTGAGCGTGGACATTGTCGACAAATGTAACCGACATTGCATGCAAGTGAGACTTTGCTCAGCGCCATTCCAAACCACTTGCTGCAGGAGTTCGACGCCGCAGATTCAGAAGGGGATGGATTATCACTGAGGTCAGGGAGTCTTGGCAGAAAGCAGAGACCAGGAAGAAGTGTATTTGTGTTTTACTGACTACACCAAGGCACACTCATACGCTTGGAATTTGTGACAAAGAGTGAGGCATCAGGATCGGAGGCAGGCTCATCAACAACCTGTAACATGCAGACGACACAGCACTGCTGGCTGACAGTGAGGAGGACCTGATAACAACTCAGTGTGAGGAAGCCCAACATCTTCACCACTGGACCCGTAGGTCACAACTACGGTCAATGGGGAACGGTTGCGGTTGTCAAGCATTTTGTCTTGTTTGGATCCATCATCAAGGCTCATGGAAACAGCAGTCGAGAGATCAAGGCCTGTTGCGCTGGGTAACCCTGCTGTACAAGCCCTCTGTGATTGTTGGAAAGCAAGGCCGTCTTTGAGGAGCACGGCGCCTGACCTCTATGGCATCGTGCAGTGAAAGTTGCAATTGAAAAGGAAAACAAGAATCAGTGAGGGAGAAGACTCGTGGTGCTGGGGAAGGGTACGGAAAGTCCCGTGGACTGCTGAGAAAAGCGAACAGGCAATCTGTCCCGGAAGCAGGTCGGCCAGGGTGCTCCTCAGAGGCAACGATGGTGAGACCTGTTATCAGGAGAAACTCATCCCTGGAGAAGGACATCGTACCTGGTAAAGTAGGAGATCGTTGCAAAGAAGACCTACTGGTGGGACGGGTGGGACCCCCAAGACGACGCCCTTACCCTCAGGTCTGGAACTGAACTCACCCCGATTAGAACCATCGACCATATAGGGTGGAAAGGGCAGCATTCCCCCAAGGTCAAAGTTCAGAGGGCTGGGAGGGCAGGGGGTGGAGACAGGTAACTGGGTGGAAGGGGGATGAGCGCCAGTGTATTGAGGGGTCTCCCGCCTGCACTGCACCAGAAGGCGCATAAGCTGTTGGTGTGAAGCGGTGATTGTCTCTAATCCTGTTCCTCACTCACAATAAAAGGCTAAAAGCAAAGAGGGAGGCCCTCCCTCAAGGAGCTGGACTGACCACCACTGGGAGGCCGGTGCAGGCCCTACTGTGTTGGCTGCTATCCGAGTGGACCTGACCTTTGGGCCCCTGACAATAAGAAAAGTTGCGAGGACACAGTTCGATCCCAGGCAGAGGGAGCCCCACTCCTCTAGTGCCCTCTCAGCAGCCACGCCCCCACCCCAATCGAACCAGGGCACCAGGGGACTTGAAGCCTGACAACGAGGAAAAGACTACATTTGAAAAGCAGAACCTCCCACACCTTTCCCTACAGGGTGCCCTGGAAGAAACACACGTCCAAAGGCTCAGCCCGGCCGCTGGGTGAGGGCAGGCAGCCGGGCGGTCCAGCAGGCCAAGGGAGGGGCTTACCCTGGGGCCGACTCAAAGGGGCCAATGGGCTCTCCTGGGGCCTCCACACAGGCTCTGGAGATCTGTACCCCAGGAAAGAGAAAGGGCACAAGGCCTGTCCCCCCCCACACACACACACTCCATGCCAGAATAGCTCTACAGGGGGCCAGGGGCCTGGTGCTTGGCTTCCCCCTCACAGTGGACAGTACCCCATGAGAAGGCCAAGGGCCTGGTTCCTGGCTGTCAGCTACTGTGCCAGGACAGCTCTACACAAGCTGCGCTTGAGCCACAGACCACAACATGCCTCCTACCCACCTCTGGGAGCTAGGAAGGGGCACAGAGGGTATGTTTGCTGAGCTGGGTCCCCTGGGAGCAGGGTGGGCCCTGCCATGACACATGGCAATGAAAGGAAGCACCCAAGGCACGGGCTGGGACCAGCTCTGCTGAGGCTTGGAGGCCAAGGTGCCTGGATACCCCTCTTGCAGACCTGGCATTTGAGGGCTCCCTGCCACTGATGGGGCCTTTTAGGACCACAACTATGGCAACCCACGTGACAGTGCTGTGGCCCGGGTGGGGTGGGGGTAGGGTCTTGTGCCCACCAGGGGCTGCAGCTGGATGCGCTGAAAGCCTGAGCCTGTGGCACTGAGCAGCTCTGTGATTCCTATCATGCATCACAGCCCTGCCAGACTAGGGAGCGCCCCTGCTGGGAGGCTGACAATGAGGTGTGGCGGGTGCAGCACCTACTGGTGGGCCTTGACAGGTCTTCACCAGGAACAGCAAGCAATCGGACCCTCTGAGGAGTGACACCTGCTGGGGAGGGGGGTTCCAGGCCTCGGACAGTGAAGGTCCGAGGGAGCCTCACTGTAACACAGATCACAAGCCAGGGCAAGGTGCTCACTGACCGGCATGAGTTATTGGGGGAGGGGCAAGTGGTGTGCGGGGCTATGTGTCACTTGGGGTGGAGCCTGCAGCGTGGCCCGTGAGAGCCTTGAGCAGTGACGCTGTGGAGGCCGGGGTGGAGTGGAACCGCAGGGCTGTACGCCTTGTTCTGGGGAACTGCAGCTTCTCTGTAAGAACGTGGTGCTCAGACGTCGTCGAGGAGCTCATCAGGTGTGAGGGGCAGGCACAGCAGCAACCCACGGACAACCGACAGGAAGCAGCAGCAGGAGGGACACGGCGTGCTAAACAGGATGTTTATTAAGGCTTGTATTCTCCTAGAGGACGGGCCCCGCAGCCCACGCCGTCCCCGCAGCCAGCCAAGTGGGAGAAGGCAGCCGCTCTCGTACAAGTCTACGCGGTACAGCGTGCATCAGTCAGTGGTGGCCACGGTCGGCAGGGGCTGTGGGGGGCACAGCGGTGGCGGGTGCTGGGCCGCAGGTGGGGGCCCTTCCAGGAAGACTGAGGCTCCTGCCGTACGTCAGCCGTGAAGGGGCTTGTTTTTTGCTTTGTACCCATTCCACAGGCCAAGGAGGGCCAGCACAGAGGGTGGCAGGGTGGGCGTCACAACAGCCGTGCCCCACCCTTTACTGGTGGGCTCTCAAGTGAGGAAAAAGGGGAAACAAAACACGACCCGCCAAAACAAAGGGCTCACACCCAGCCCCTTCCGGCGCCCACCACCCACACTCAGTGGGAAGGGACAAGATGGCTGGGGGGTGGGGGGGTGATACACAGAAGTCAGGGGCCTCACTGATCCTAAGTGCCAGGGCGTGCGAGAGCAACCTAATGTCTGCCAGAAACGAAGAAGACTCTGGGCTGTTAGGCCGCGCAGCCCGTCCGGGGGACACGCTGATGGGGACAAACAGAAACCCTTGGTTGGTGAGCACTGCCAGGTCACGATACACAGCAAACAGGCCGGCGCCAAGCCCCGAGCCCGCGCCGAGCAGGACCCGCGGTGGAGCTGGCGCCGGGAGAAGCACCAGGCCAACGGTGTGCAGCCGTCGTTTGTCAGGGCGGCGGGACCCCGACTCTCATTGCTTGCTCCGACTCTGCCGCTCCTGCAAGACAAATGGAGGCAGAGGGGGAGGAGGGTTAGCACTCCAACACCCTCAGGCCACCTGCAACCAGTCGCCTGCCTCTGGGCCCCACCCTCCTTCAGGGCACAGCAAAATGCTGGCACACCATCAAGTTTGAGGGGCACTGCCAGCCGGCTCTACACTCTGGGGACAGGTGACACCACATCCTGGCCTTTCTGAAATTCCACTGTGCTGGGTCAGCACCCCGGCAGACTAGGGACTAGCGGCCCCCCAGCTGCAAAGTTGTCATCCCCTGCCTCCCACCCCACAATTCAGCATTTCTTTACAAATCCCCAGCTGCCCCTGCCTGGAAACCCTGCTGTCCAGCCCTCAGAGGAGCAGATTCAAGCTGCCTGGCCCTGGCAGTCCCTGAGTCACCTGCCTGTGCTGGCCACAAATCCAAGCCCACCAGCCCGCCACTGCCAGGAGGGGTCCGGGGCCTCCAGCAAAATACAAGTAGCGCTCCGGCTGATATGCCAGCACCGAGCACCAGGTCAGCAGGGCATGAGCAAGGGTGCTGGAGCCCCTCCTGGGGACTATGAGAAGGGTTCGTGTGGCTGAGTCCAGGCCCCACCCCCGCCCCACAGTTCGCCAGTGTGGAGGGTGGTAGGCCAGCTCCCCCTGGGCAAAATGTTTGAGATGCCCGAGGGAGCTCCTGCTGAAGGCAAGGGCACTGACAGGCTTGCTGGCCAGAGCAGTGTGCCATCTGCCATGCAGCCAGGGAGGCCTGCTGGGGCAGAAGCCCTGAGACCCACCGTGGGAGCCCATCTCCCACCTTCATGCTGGGGTCCGATAGAGCAGATGGACAGTACTGGACTAGCACCAAAGAGCCACCTTGGGGCAAGCTGTCACAGGCCGAGCTGGCGGTTTCCTGTGATAGGGAGAGGGGGTGGGGGACAACCTCAGGCCCTAAATGTCCACGCCTGTTATCAAACGCCTTGAGCCCTCTGCCACCCTCCACTATGAGAGCACGGTGACTTCCACAAACCCATGGGGACAGTGAGTTTTCAAAGAAGGAATGAGCTCGGGGCCCACACTTCCCAAATGCTGGTCAGCCTTCCCATGCCCCCTCTGTGCTGTGGGACAGCACTCGCTCCCCATGCTGCTGCCTCAACGCGGCTCAGAAAGCCCTGTGCTAGAGGACCTGACTGTGAGTGTGTGTGTGGTGTGTGCGTGAGTGCTCACAGGGCCAGGGGCCAGGCCACCAGCCTCTTCCTGACTTGGCACTGGGCCCAGCTCACTAAGGCAAGGTCAAACGCGATGCAGGGTACCCCTGGCTCACCTTGCGCACCTCCTCCTCCTGCTGCTGCCGCCTCTCGTAGTGGGAGAAGTCATCGAAGATGGAGGTGGTGTGCTTGTAGGAGGCGAGGATCTTGAGCACTTGCTTGGCCTTCTCCAAGGGCACCTCCTGGGTGTCCCGGGAGTTGGTGACGGGCTTGTTGTCGTTGTTCTCCAGCCGGATGTGCCGCAGCTGGCTGTTGGGCACATCCTTGACCAAGATCCACTTGACGTCGAACTTGCCCTTCCACTTGTCCTGCGACCAGACGCCGGCGCTGGTGCCGTAGTCCACTGTGGACTTCATCTCAGCCACGCCGCAGAAGTGCCCACTGCCGTTGACGCTGAAGAGCAGGTAGAGCGGGCCCCTGCTGCCCAGGGAGCGGAAGGCGCCGTCCAGCCTCTTGTTGCCGTGCTCGGTGCTGCACCAGATGGAGTACTTGATGGAGCGGTGCACGTCATCCTCCGAGTAGCTCTTGATGATGAACACGCGGCCCTGCTTCAGGTTCCAGTCAAACTCCTTCGGGTTGTAGCTGTGGGCTGCCTTCAGCTTCTCCAGGACCGGGTGGGGCTCAGCCCCTGGGGCTGCGCTGGGCTGAGCACTGCCGGGACCGGTTCCGTCACTGCCCATCCCCGCCCCCTGGCCAAAGGCTGCGTTCCTGTTGCGTGGGGCTATCCAGCGGGTCTGGGGCAGCGGCTGGGAGTTCTGGTACGGAGGCGGGGCCAGAGGGGGCGGATGCAGTGGGACAGGCTGGACCAGGGGCTGCGGGGGCGGGGCCACCTGGGGGGAGGGCACCTGCTGGGGAGCTGGGGCCTTGGTCAGGGGCCCCTTGTTGTCCCAGGTACCAATGTCCATGTTATGCTTGATGGGTGGGGGCGGCATTGTGCCGCCCATCACAGGCCCACCCTTGCCCTTCACCTTGGGCTGGGCCTTGGCCGGCTTGCTGGCGATGGCTGCCCAGGAGGTGGGCTTTGACACGGGCAGGCTGACACTGGCTCCCCCGTTGCCAGAAAGGACACCAGTCATCACGGCACTATTCACAACAGAGCCCACGGTCTTGACAGCAGACGTGGCCACATCGCCGATCTTCAAGCCCACCATGCCCTGCTCCAGGCTGTTCATGCCAGGGGCCTTGCTGAGGGTGTCACCATGGAAGCCTGCCTGCCCGTCCACGATCGTGCCACCCAGGGAGCTGGGCGGGTAGGTGTAGCTGCTGCCGTAGGCCGAGCTCTGCGTCTGCTGCCCCTGGGACCCGCTGGCCCCCCATGCCGAGAAGGCAGGGTTCTCGGGGAAAAAGTTAAACCTGTGCTGGTAGATGCTGCTGCCCAGGCCGCCGGGCTGCCCAAACACGGCATCATGCATGAAGTGGTGGTCCCCGTTGCTGAGCTGTCCGTAGGGGGTGAGGTATGGGATGGGAGGGTCCCCTCCTGTCGACCACGGGGCCTCATTGAGGGAGTAGGGAAAGCTGATGGACGGCGGGTAGTAGCTGGACAGGTAAGGGTCGGTCATTGAGGGGTAGCTGCTGCTCTGTGGGGACAAAAGCACAGAGGATCAGGCGCTGCAGTGAGGGCAGCCATGAGGCCAACTCAGGCCAGCACCCCACGCTGCAAAGCCCCGCCCCCAGGACCAAGACCAAACCAAGAGAGTGACCAAGCTGGTCGGGGAGGGGCAGCCGCACACCAGCTCTCTTACTGGCCCTGGGTGTACTCCGAGTGTCCTGAACCCGGGTAGCCCAAAGCCCTGCCCAGAGGTAACATGCTCAGGGCACAGCAGCCAGGGTGGCGAGCACAAGAGGTGCTCTGACTTCCAACTCGCTGAAGACAGCATCTGGAGGGGCCCACCTCAGAGTGCTCATCCAGGAGCAGCCTTCCCCAGGCCCACCCTCGAGGACCCTTCTCCTCCATCACTAGGCTGATGACAGAGGTGACAAGGAAGTCCCAGATAGGTCTTCCTAAGCCCCGGTGCCACCGCCAAGTGCAGCACACCCTGTGCTTTGTCGCGGGTGAGGCTCCTGGGAGAGGGGGCACCAAGGGCACAAACTGAGCCCACCCCACAGCCCTCAGGCTCCAAGTTGACCCACCACTTCACAATCCCCACCCCCACCCCCAGCCTGGCTGGCTGCTGGGCACCACTGGACAGCTCCGAGGAGCCACTTTCTAGTCCCCGGGCCAGGTTTCCTTCCGGACTCTGAAAGCAAGGTGATGTGCGGGGAGACCTGAAGGAAGCCAGCACACTGGGTGGGGGGAGTCAGTGCTGACTCACAGCGCCCCCTGTGGGTTCTCGAGACTGTAGTTGTCTACAGGAGTAGACAGCCAGGAGATGCTGGTGGTTTTGAACTGGCAACCATTCGTATCACAGCCCAATGTGTCTGTGTCACTGCTCTATCACCAGGGCTCCTTTACCACCAACCAAGCAAACAACAGGCACCCCCACCCCTCCCCCTCCCAAGTGACCGGACCCACATGCACAGTTAGCACGTCTCCACCGAGACAGAAGACAGCCTGCACCCTCACACACAAAGGGAGGTCATGACGGCCAGTGACCGGGACCGAAGCGGGGGCACTCTAGAAGCCAGGACATGCTGAGCACCACTGTAAACGTGGGGAAGGTGGGCACTAGTGTCACACACAGGAAGGAGACTCCAACTCAACCCGAAATCCTGGCCAATCCCTGTGAAGCAGCTCAGATGGTCCTCACCCTGCAAGCTGTCTGTCACCCACAGGCTCCACATACCTGCACGTTATTGACACCCATGTTTGCATCCTCCTACCCACAGGCACGTAATAGGAATGACAAGAAACACAACAAGGAGAACCACACTGATTAACTCATTACATTACCAACAGTCCACTGAAAACAAGCAGAAACCTGAGTCAGTTACGGGAAAGTACAACTTTTGAAGACAAGTACAAAAACACCCAAGTCTGGGCGTGTCCCTCAGGACAGTCCCTCCGCAGCAGCCCACAGCTACCGCCACCGAGCCGACCCAGACTCACACGGCGCACAGGGCAGAGCAGAACTGCTGCTGACTTAGACTGGAACCCCTGGCCCTGCTCTTAGCCCCTGCATGGCCAGGGCTCCTCACAGCGGCCAACAAAGGGAGCCATGGCCAACAGTGGACGCGACATGGTGCAGTTTTGCACAACCTGCTAATGGGAATCCCGTCCAGGCTCCGCTGTGTCCTCCTAGACACGCTTCTACAAAGCGACCGTGGTCACCCACCCCTGTCCTGGGAGGGGCTGTATTTCTGGGTGCATGTGCCGGGAGCCCAGCAGTCAGGCGAGGACGTCTCGCTGGTTGGGCAGCACACCGACATGGGGTTCTGTGATGCCAGGGGAACACAGCACAGGCAGGTCCCTCGGGCAGCAGGGGAGCCCATTTCCAAGACACGCTTGCGTTTTCTACAATGAAACTTCTCCTGGGTCAAAGACAATGTCTTGCCAACAAAGAGCGCAGACACGAGTTTCAGCTGACCTGAGAAGGGTCCCCTGTGAACGGCACACATATCCGGAACTCAGGACACCCAGTCCCGAGCACACAGCACCCCCACCCCTGCACCCCTTACTTTCAGCAGCCTGAGTGTACCTCAAGGCAGAAAACAACCCTCTCTCCTTTTAATCACTTTATCGGTGACTTGTACAGCTCTTATCACAATGGTGTGGGTCTCAACAGTGGCAGGTTCCGAAGAGACCGCCAACTGCAAAGTGTCAGCATCGCAACTAAAATACGATGTCCGGTGCAGCAAATACGCACACCCGGCCAATTACCGTATACACTCATGTACACGCCAAGTTTTCCAGCACATTTTAAATGCAGTCTTTGTGGTAAAATTAGGAGCCTTGGCTGGCACTCGGGTCGGCTTATACTTGAGTCTATATGGTACTTTCAAATACAGCTCTGCTACTGGTGGCCTCAAAACCATACCTGGCTTCTCAGAAGCCGACACTCCATTAAAATGCCAGCACCGGGGATCTGTGGGTGTCACCCTGCGCCCACGGAGGAGGAGGCATGGCACACGTGGATGTGCTGAAACCCTAACCAAGGGGCTGCTGGCCATCCGCTGAGCGCTCAGAGTCAAGGAGCTTGACTAGTCCAACCACCCGAGACCTGACCTGAGCGCCTCTGTCGCAGCGGCTGATCGGAGGCCGGCCGCTGCAGGACGGAGACGATGGCACACTCCAGGCAGCGCAGGAGACCCTCCTGTGCTCAGAGTCCCACCTGCAGTAGCCAAGGGTCTCCTGTTTCCCTGTGACGTGCCTTCAGAGTAAGCTATGAAAAAGGAAACTCGCCCCCAAATCTAGACCCGCGGTCTCAGAACCACGGAAGGCACGCTCCTGGTCTCCCCGTCAGCCGACTCAGAAAGACCACTCTGACTCCAGGAGGTGCCAGCGGTGTGTGCGCGTGCGCGTGTAGCCACTGCAGAACTAGTGCAGTGGGTGTGCATGCATGCCCTTACTGCCCTCGGGCGAGGCTCCCAAACTGTGAGTGACAGAAAAACAAGCCCCAGGTGACATCTCAAGCCCAATCTAAGCCACTGAGCTGAGTGGGCTTCTTCGTGTGTCCTTACTCTGACAACGGAGAATGTTCTGCAGCAAAACCAAGACCACGGGCGGCGACTCACAACCAGCGCCATATGGGGACCCGAGACACTGTCAGGGAAGTGTTGGGCTGCCAACCACAAGGTCAGGGGTTCAACCTCATCAAAAGACAAGGTTCTCTCTCCCACACAGATGCACAGCCTCAGGAACCCACCCGAGGATTGCTGAGTCGGAAAAGGGCGACGTGTTTTAGACAGATGAGGCAAAATCTGTACAGGTTTCAGAACACGACAAAGACTAGCCATGCCGCATCGCCACTGAGCCGATCCTGATCACAAGGCATCGTGCTTGGCAGAGGGGCAGCAGCAAAGAGGCAGGCCCCCACGACATGGACCGACACCTGGCTGCCACAGTGAACGCAAGCATGGGCACAACGGTGAGGACGGCGCAAAACGGCAGCGTCTCGCTCCACTGTGCGCGGAACCGACTCGACAGAACAAACAACAGCAAAGACCTGGGAGCAGCCACCTGCTGCCTGCACCAGAGGATCGCCCTGCCAGTGGGGGCACCAGACCAAACTGCACGCCCCTGCTGCCCACCCTGTCCTCCTCTAGAAAACAAGATGACGGGACACCCCAAGCTCAGGGTGCTCCCACCTGCAGCAGGTGCTTCTGGAAAGCCATCATCAACCAGCACAGGGCACAGGCCCCAGCGTGATGTCGGCCAGGTTTCTTGCTCATGGGCACAGGTGCACCTGGGCCGTCCACTGTGGCACTGGCCTTGGCCAGTCTCCTCTCTCCCCCAGGTGAGGCAGAGTGGATGCCACGCAGCGGGACCACCGCACACAAGGGTTCCCAGTTTACAAAAATGGGTCTCAAGTAAAGTGAAGTGACCCTGCTTTTGGCATACATTAAGTCATACAAAGAAAAAGATCACTTCCTGCCATTCGCCGACGGCTGAAAAAGTCCACATCCCAGCCCGGCCAGGTCAGCTCGCAGAACCCAGGGAGTGAGAACCTCAAGTGCTCTGGGAGGGGCGAAGGGAGTCTGGCTCTGCTGCTGTGAAGAGGTGGGCAAGGAGGATGGCAGACTCTCTCTATTCCACCAGAGGGAGGCCACGCCTGGTGAATTTAAACAGCGGCGGACGTTGTTTTTAAACCTCAGCTCTAAGGAGCCCAGTGGCTGGCTGGTCTTCAACAAGGGGGATGTGTCCCTGTCTGGACAGGGAAAGGTGTGTCATGGGCACCTAGTGGGTAGTGGTCAGGAGTGTTGCTAAACAACCCACAATGCCCAAGACAGCACCGCCTGTCCCCGTGTTAAGGTTCTGAAGTCCACAAGAGAGAAACCTTCAACTACCTAAGAAAACAGGTGGCTCTGACACACACAAAACCAAACCAAATCCACTGCTGCCCAGTAGATTGACTCACAGCAATCCTACAGCACAGGGTAGAGCTGCCCCGTGGGTTTCTGAAACAGTAACATTTAGCGGGAGCAGGCAGCCTTATCTTACTCCTAGAAGATAAGGAGCTGCTAGAAGTTTTGAACTGCTGACTGTGCAGAGAGCAGTCCAGCATGTAATCACCACTGACCTTGCCTGGTGGCCACCTTGTGAGAGGCATTACTTCCTCCAGGGAGAGTGGAGCCCAGCTCTGTACATCACTCACGGCCCACGTTCAGCATGCAGCCTACTGTCAGAGCATACAGCTTCATTCACATTCTTAAGAAGCCCAGTTCGTGACAGAATGCCTCTTTTGTTGAGGATAACAACAAGATTAGGAGTGCGCCCGAGAGGTGTGTCATGAAATGCAGCCTGGCACAGACGCGGGCAAAGGCTCACTGAGCATACTCACCTGGTTTGACTGTCCAGAAAGGTAGGGCTCAAAGTCATGGTCATGGACAGGGTCCTTCTGATGCAACGAACCATTTTGTACTAGGAAAGACAAGTTTCAAGACAGTATCTTTGAATTTTAAGTAAACATTTTCACCTGGGAAATCAAAAGTCTCCTATGTTCGTTTTGCCCAGCTTTACAGTTAAAAATGGTACTTTCCCTTAAAAACCTACTGGTGGCGAGGCTGCACCGGAAAGGTTGACACAGTAACGGGAAGGCCCAACTGCCAACGATCCGGGCTGTGTATTTGATAAAGAGTTGATGCTAATCTGCTCAGAGGCTAGGTTCTGGTGAGCAGACACTGCCCCAGAAGATGTATTTCTGCAGAACGGGGTCCCCTGCCCTCCAGCCACCAAGCGGCTGCAGATCGGTCCTTTGGGGGAAGGGCTGCACGGGGCAGGCTTCTCCGAGGCTTTTGCTGGGCGGCCCCTGCTTAGTTTCCGCCGTTGGAACGAGGGCCAGAAAAGGCGAGTGGGCTAAAGACAAGGTTGGGCCGTCTCCAGACCTACAACCCGATGAAGCCTATCTGGTTACACCCCAGGAACAGGCCGGTCAAAAACGGCCCGGGGGAGGCGGCCAGCGCCCCTTACTGGTTCCCCGGGACTCTTGGGGAGAAGGGATCCCCCCGGCCGGCGCTCTCCGGGGCTCGGAGACCGCGCACGGGCTGCAGCTGCTTCCGTTTGGCCGCCGGAGCCCGGCTCCCCCGCCCCTCCCCCGCCCG